TTATTAAAATGAAGTAATGATTCATTAAGATATAAATGTCTTATTACTGCTATAAAAGTTAGTAAATTTTTATTTTATCCTTTTCTTTGTATTCTTTAAAAACTTCTATCTATTGGGAATTCTGAAAAAATAGAGAGATAAAGAAAATAGGGAAATATAAGAATTATATTTATTATATGTAGTAAATGTTCATGTTTATTCATTCATATGGGAAGTAAATATTGATTAATTATAAGTCTAAGCTGGACAAGTGTGGTAGATACAAAGAATATGTCAAATTATAAAAAGCAAAATCATAACTACCACATTTATAGTTACATAGTAGAAGAGTCAGATATTATTCAAAAATTTATACAAATATGTTTACAATTATAACTGTCATAACTGTTGGAGAAGTGAGGAATATAGACTTCTGATAATGTAAACAAGAATTATTTTTTTAATAATTATTATTGTTATCAAAGGGAGTCATGTATAGCTTCCCTGAGGGAGTAATAATTGAGCTGGATTAATGAATAAGAGTGAGTTTACTTGGATAAGTTTTAGGAGAGTCAATCCAGACAATGAAAACAGCACATACAGAGACCATGCATCCGGACAAAGTTTTGGGGAAAAAATGGTTCAATGTGAAAGTATAATATTTGAAAGATTGTTATCAGGCAGTCTATCTAAAGATATCTAAGCTATGCTAAAGATTTTTATCTTTTTCATTCGAGCAATGCAAGTCTACTGAAATCTTTCAACTGTGGCAGGTCACGTTTTCTCTGTAGAAATATATTCATTGAGGCAGGAGACACTGGGAGAGGACTGGTCAGAGATGAGTAAAATGAATATGATCTTGGCCATGTTAAATTTGAGATTTTTGAGACATTTAGTAGAAATGTTAAGTATGTGGTTGCATAAATAAGTCTTGACTCCAATACTCAACTTAAAATAAAATTTATAAATCTATATGTAAATTATAATCTTGAAAGTAATGGACATGAATGGGATCACCTCAACAGAGAATCTTGAACGAGAAAAGAGTATAGGCCAAAAGACAGAGGATTATCAGCATAAGCTTGAAAAAGGAACAGAGAAAGAGGCTTATATTATGTCATGAAATCCAAGACAAAAAATCTTTATGATGGAAAGAGCAATCATCACTCTCAAATGTTGTCAAGAAGCCTAAACAGATGAGCACTAAATTATGTCCATTTGATTCAGCAATGTGAAGATTAAGACATGCTGTGTCCATTGAGTAATAAGTACTCAACAATATGGGCACAAAAGAGTTTTCCCAGTGTGACTGAGAGCTGTGGAAACACAGACAAATCTTTAAGAAAACTGACTATGACAGAAGAGAGGACAGATAATGAGAATCAGAGGTCATAAGGAGTAGAAGGAAAGGCTTTTCTCTTTTTGTTTTTATTCTAATGAACAAGAAGAGTTCAATAATCTTTTCATAGGAAATTTACAGTTTATAGGGTGATGGAGAATACATGAGGCAGGAATTAAAGTATCTTAAAGAGAGGGGATTGGCCTTAGATAGAGGACAGCTCCTCTCTTGTAAATATAAGCTAAGTAGAGCCTGGGTGTGGATATAGGCTGAGAGGTGAAAGTAAATGTGAATTTTAATCTACCTTCTATGTTTGCTACAAAATAGCAGTGGAGGTCATCCTCCAAGAGATTGTGGGGGGGGGGGGGGGAAGGAGTGAAAACATGAAAGGTTTCAAAAGAGTAGAGATTTGAAAAGTGATTGTATAAAACTGGACAAGTGAAATGACATACATATTGAATACATACATCTATAATAATACAAGTGTATTATGCAAATCGACTGAACAACCAAACAGGAATGACTGAACATTTGGATGACCACACTATGACACCCATTGATGCAAGGCCAGCCAAGGCGGGTGTGATGAGATTGCTTGAGGCTCAATCATCGCCCCATGATCGCCTTGCAGAAAGAGGCCCAGGCCACCAACCTGCAGGCTGTGGCAGGTGGGCGGGCCTCCCTCTGCAGGGGCAATCCTTTGCAGAGCCTGGCCAGGTGGGCAGGGCCTACCTGTTTGGGGCAGTTGATGGCAGAGCCCTGCGATCAATCTCCTCAAAGAGGGAGACCTAGGCTATGGGGCTTGCGGCACTGTTGTGGGTAGTCTATGCTTCCCTATGCGATGCGATCAATCATGGAGCTCTGGCTGGGTGGTCAGGGCCTAGCTCTTTAGGGCAATCAATCGTAGAACTTCCAGACTGTGAGAGGGCGCAGGCCAGGCTGAGGGACCACCCCTCCACACACAGTGCACGAATTTCGTCCACTGGATCTGTGATTCTTGTTTTTTTTTTCTGCCTCAGTACAGTTTCTCTAATATAAGTAAGGACCATCACATACTTATACCAAACACAGTGGTTTGCTATATTATCGTTTATAAAGGATGGACAAATGCACTTCCTTATGATAGTGTATATAACCTCAGAGAGGAGAAAATGTGTGTGCAAGTGTATATATGCTGTATCCATGTAAATGTATTTGTGCAGTTGGAAAAGCCAGAATGGGAGGAATGTAGGTTTACTGTTATTTATATGGAAAATAATGAAATAATTATAATACAAGGAAAGCTCTGTGTTCCATGTACTCAAAATTGTAAACCTCTTTTTCCCCCCCGCTGTGTGATTTTGATATGCCCTCCATAGGGAGACTGGGAATTTCTCCTTGAGAACAAACTAAGTAAGTGTTGAGATTGAAGCAGAAAGTTCTCTAAAGAAATATGACAAGTAATTATTATATTTAATAAATATTTTAGCACATGCAATACAATTGGCTACCTTTTAAAAATTAAAAACACATTATTCAATAGATATTCTTTTTCTCATGATAGACATTCACTTTGTAATACTACAGGTCTCTACTATGAAAAGCAGTATATTACAAGTCCTATTCATAATCATTTTGATGTAAAACATTTAATTATCAGCAAACTAATAATGACCATTTAAAATAATCAGCATGTTGTCAGTAAATATCTCCTTAGGTGGAATTTCCTGACTTTAGTTGAGTCATAAAATGCTTGGGTCACAGTACATCAATTAGTAAATTACTAATCCATAGCACTGTATGTCCTGAAAAAGTAAATGTACCTTCTGAGAGCCTGACTCTTGGAGAGTTATTTATTCACCATTAGGATTACAGTTGTCATAGTAAACATAGTTATGTTTATTTCATAAATAGGTAAATTGAAGCTCAGAAAGTTAGAACTGGAGAGCTAAGGATCCAGGTTAGATTTTCAATCTGAAAAGGCTTGGTTCCTAGTATCTAGCAATAAAAAAATAAAAATATGAGTTTGAGAGCAGTCATAATTATTTCTCTATAAGTTTACTCTCACATAGTCATTATTAAGTTTACTACTTCTCAGTTAATTCTAAACTCATGCTATTAAAATTAAATGGCTTTGTTGCATTGTAAATAGTACAATTTTTTAAAAAAAATTTAGACTTTCTTAAGTTAATAAGTATACTTAAATCAGTTACCTGAACTACCTATAATATGGTCTTTTAGATAATGAATGGAGTATGATAAAAGTGTTATGAGGACAGGCTTTGAAATAAAAAAAAACATAGCTTTATTATGATGTTTATATTTATTAACTGCAAGAACAGAATGTGTATGTATATATGTAAATATATTTTAAATATATTTTAACTAAATGTTAAATTTTTGTGACTATGTCTTCAGAGATTAGATTTATCTAAGTTGGTTTAGCATTATACTAGGAATGTTATTTTTTATTTGTTCTTATCCCCAAAAGCAATAAAATCAGTTTCTATATTGTTTCATAAAACAATAAAAAAGAAAAATAATGGAAATGTTCAACAAATAATTTACTATTGTTTGCATTTGTCTGGAAGAAGTTTCTCACAGCTTTAATCTTAGCTACACATCATTATTTCAAAGATGCCATCTTTTATATATTTAAATATGTTTTTCATGTCAAAGAATTTAAACTTGAAGTCATTTTTAGTGTTCTCAGTGAAATTCCACTATGCACTTTAAATAAATAAAATAGCATATGCTGTAATTTTGAGGGCTGTCACTCAATCTAAGGTGACACAAACTGAGGAGTGAGGATATAACTCCAAGAATTATTTGTCTTCTTAATTTTTAATTGTTCATTAAAATGTTTCTGAGGTTTATTCAATAAGATCATGGTAGAAATCTCTGGTATATGACATAATTTAGTGCTTTGTGAAAGTTCTAACACACTAATATGTTTAGAGATCAGTAATATAAATTTTATACAGAGAAGTCTAAACAAAGGGTAAAAGGCTATGTTAAGTTTTTAAAATAAACTGCCTAATAATTTACACGTTAGAGGCATACTGAATATCTCAGGAACATTTTCTCAGAAATAATTTTTTAGAATAAGTTTTGCCTTTGTTACTGTGATAATGAAGACCTTGATAAAATGAGACCCAGGAGAAAAGACAATTTCCTTCAGATATTATCTACATCTAAAATATTCTTCACTGATTTCACATGCTTATTTCACAGGTAATATGAACAAGGTAATTTGTCTGACACTGGTGGGGCATAGTTTTCAATAAGAAATTCAAAATTCACCAAAACCGGTTTGGCTCAGTGGACAGAGAGTCGGCCTCCGGACTGAAAGGTCCCAGGTTTGATTCCGGTCAAGGTCATGTACCTTGGTTGCTGGCACATCCCCAGTGGGCACATCCCCAGTGGGGGGTGTGCAGGAGGCAGCTGATCGATGTTTCTGACTCTCTCTCTTCCTTCCTTTCTGTAAAAAATCAATAAAACATATATATTTTTAAAAAAAGAAATTCAAAATTCATATACAACTCTCCTCTAAGAAGTCTCTGCAGTGTTTTTCAGTTCGTATAAAAAGACTTAAGATGTTGTCTGAGGCATCTACTTTTTTTTCCTCAAGGCAAGCCAAAGTGTCATAAATCAAATTGTTTTTCACACTCTTAATGAATTCTTTTCTCTTTCAATTTCTTAGAGAGCGGACATAGGGATTTCTGCTTTAACAATCACCCCAGATCGAGAGAATGTGGTGGATTTTACAACACGTTACATGGACTACTCAGTGGGAGTACTGCTTCGAAGAGCTGAAAAGACAGTGGATATGTTTGCCTGTCTTGCACCATTTGATCTCTCTCTATGGGCTTGCATTGCTGGCACAGTCCTTCTTGTGGGTCTGCTGGTCTACCTTCTGAATTGGCTTAACCCCCCACGATTACAAATGGGATCAATGAGTTCTACTACTCTCTACAACTCCATGTGGTTTGTGTATGGATCCTTTGTACAGCAAGGTAAGAAGAAAAAAAAAATACATTTTTATATGAAAAAGGAATGTGATGCTTCAATTGCTGTGATTTCAGTAAAGATGTCATGTATTGTATCTGACATTGCTAAGTGTTCAAAGGGTCTTCACAGTAATGCTTTGAACAGAGCATTTCCTACTTTTTTCCTAGTGAATCTCAAACACAGCAGGCTTTCAACAAAAAATCTAGTTCATTATCTTTTGATGTTTAGTTCAATATCCTCAACAAAGCCAAAAAAATTTAATGTCAGAGGTGAGGTTCACAAGAAACTCAGAATCCTCCCTAAACTCTGACATTCTGAGAAATAGCCTGATTGGAATGAAACTACTTACTGGAGTACATACTCTTTAATTATTTACATCTGTAAGAGAGGCTGGGCCATGTTCTTTGTTCAGAGACATCATTTCATATATTGAAAAATATTCATTGACAGTGAAAAGACTTTAAGATTCTAATAATAACTTTTATATTTTATCTTTAATATATAATATTTAACAATAGTTTAACTTATAATTAATTTCAAAATAGTCTAAAAAATAGGCATTGTTTTATATTCAATATCCAAGCTGCCCTGCTCTTTAAACTAGTAAATTCCTTGTCTCTGTTCATTTTAGAATAGAATTATATTTATTGAACTTTTTAATTAAGACTACCACCATGGAGAATGAAATAATAAAATGCTTAGGCAATTAATAGTTTCTTGCAAACTTGTCACATGTATTGAAGAGGAGAAATATGTATCACAGTGAAGACACATGATGCTTTTGCCTTAATGTTTACAACTCTCAATAGCTTCTTACTTTTTATTTGTATTTGCAATTGGATCTTCCACCACATTTTATTCTTTCTGTTCTCATTTAATTAATCACAAGTTCTGTCTAGACTCTTCACCTCTACTTTCTCACTTCTAATCTATTTTGAAAATCTTTGTAAGTACGCTTCTCCTTCTGCCTCCCCCCAAGGGCTCTGACTTAGGCTATATTTGTCACAGACATTTTTAGTCAATTCATAAATTATTAACACAGTAGATAATCAATCCATGATATTTATTTAAGCTAGAACTTTTCTAAACACTGAGTATTGAATTGTGAACAAAAGAGTTTTTGCTATCATTGAGTTATAAATCTAGTGTGACACAAACATGTAAACAAACAATTATAAGTATGATAAAAAGTACTGTGATAGATATAAGTACAATCTGCTATGAGAACAAAGGTATAGGAAAGCTCAGTATATCTTATGTAGCAAAGAAGGCTTTTGAATTAAACTACATATACAAAGACACAATAATGAACTATTTAAAGAGCTTGTTGAAAAAGAGGATGGGGAAAAGGAAACATAGATGGGTAGGATAAAATTTAATATAATGAAGTAAGGGAGAAAGTAGGATAAACTGTGCAGCATAGTGCTGGTAAAGATGTGGTTGAAGATATATTTATTATTATCAAGAGTTTGAACTTGATTTTTAGAGAAATAATCTTCTATTTAAAGGTGTTAAGGAAAAACATATTCAAATTTGTACCATAGAAATATTTTTGTTATAAGAGGTTGAAAGGGGCAATGTGGAAAGTGAATCAAATTTTAAGAGTATCATAATAACTAAGTAAAGAGTTTATGTGCTTCCACAAAGGTAAGGTGGCACTGGGAATCAAGAGAAGGGTATTTTATGAATTGGAATCAATAGAACTTGAGTGGTTGTATAATGATATTGTGATTGATACTGAAGGAGGGAAATGAAGCAGTTTTATCTTGGGGTCTGGATTGGGAAATTAGGTATATTAGATGTTGATGTCTTTTAATGATAAAATAAAAAACAGAAAGAACAAGTGTGATGGGGAAGATGGTACATTCATTTTGGTGCATGTAGAGGTATCTATGAAATATCCATGGAGATATTTATATTGTTTGTTAGTGGTCTGATATATTTTCAGAGGCACATGAAAGACATTTGGGTTAAATATTTACTTAGAATATATTAGCGTGTAGGAGATAATTGAAACTATAGAAGTAAGATCACACAGTGCATTTGTTCTAAACTGCATATTCCTAATTGAGGACCACTGGCTCAGAAAGGGCCTAAGAGAGTACCCTAAGGACTAAAGAAAAGAATGGGTAGAGGAGCTTTCAATAGTAACTGATAAGAAGTGATGGAAAGATACAAGTACCATGTATATATAGCATGCAGTGGAATACACACTAAATAAAACCAGTATTTAAAGATGGAAGGTTTGGTCCTCTGTGTTAAACATTTCCAATAATCAAGTAGAAAGGTGGTCATTGGATTTAGTTTGCTTTTGGTAGTGTTCAAGTGACTACAACTGCATAAGAAATTCCTCTAAAACATTCTGATTGTGTGGGTCAGAATTTAGACAAGATATAATGAGGATGAATTGTCTTTATTCAGTGATGCCTGAAATCTCCGTTAGACCACTCAAAGTCTGGAAGCTGAACTCATGTCTGGTAGTTGGTGCTGGTTGAGGACTGGTAGCTTCAGTTTTCTTTTATTTTCTCTCTTCATGGGACAGTTTTCTCTCACAGCATGATGGTTATTTCTTCATAGAAATTCTTCCTAAAGGAGAGAAAAGCGTAAACAAAACAGAAGAATTTTGTGGTCTGATAGAGACTACAAACCTCTGTGATGGTGTGAGTTCCTCTTCCAAGGAACATCCTGGCTGTGCCCACTTCATTGCTTTATTATGAGAATAAAAATGGTTAAAAACTATGACATTATTAGATAAAATAGCTTATATGCATGTCACATAAGGGGTTGCTAAATAAATTAAAAATAAAAACAAATTAGGTTCAGCTTTGGATAGTTAGGCACATGAGAAATGTGCCTAGGATGGAAAATGGCTTTAGATTATTGGTGAGATAATGGTAGATTCTGGGGTATATGGAGCAATGAAAATAAAATAGCAAGGCCAATAATGAGAATGTAGTAAAGACTGAGACTGGAAAGTAATAGAATAGTATTGAGAGAGCCTACAGTTCTTGATGGGGCTAAAGAACAATAGTAGAAACATTAGTATGAGGGTTTGAAGTTTGTATTTATAGAATGGTACAAACCGAGACTAAAATTTTTGAAATAGGACAATAGAGAAGTTCTAGGTGTGTGGATGTGGATTCTTGAAGTTAAGAGTTGGTAGTTTCAAAGCTGATCAAGAAATTGGGAACCCAGAGGATTAGATGAACCATCTGTAATGATGTCAGCTTGGACCGGAGAGGAAGGAAATGGGCCATATGCCAACGTTGTCAGTAAATGAGGGGAAAGAGCTAGATGTTGATAGACATGTGCATTGGCTGAAAATAAAAGATGGTATAGCTAGATGTAGTTAACCTGTTTCATATTATTATTTCTTGTTTCATCCAATTTTTTATGTATATAGTTTTAATGATCATCAATACGCAGATAAATCCCAAATTTATATCACCTCTTTGAATTTTTATTGTGCATACCTAATTGCTCACTAGATCACTCTCTGGATATATCACATATTTCACCATGCCAGTAATTGAATGATTTTATACTTTTAACTTTTGTATTCTTTCTTATTCTCTATTCCTGCTGATGCATTACCAACCACTCAAACATTTATGTTCAAAACTTTGAAAACAGTTTGATTTTTTCATTTTTCTTCCTATAGCTTATATTCAACCATAGTTAAGGCGTGCAAATTTTATCTCCTACATATTTCCGGGGGTGTGAATCTTTTCTCACCTAGGGGGATAAGACCTAGGTTGCTTCCTAGATGAGGCCAGTTTCATTTATCATTGGAACTGTAAGAATCTCCTAACAATCTTTTATAATTTTGTTCCCTTAAAAATATATGCTCCACATATTTGCATATATACCCAAGTTACTACCATCATGGAGATAGCTTTCTACATAATTCCCATTCTTCAAATTTTTTTCTTGGCTTCTCAATTATTACAGTTTAAAAGTATGAGTTATTCAGAGCATGAACAATGTTCCACCATGTAGCTATTATTCAGTGCTCAATTCTACTCTCTTATCACTCATATAGCACATTTAATTTTCCAGTTACTCCAAATTTGCTTTGTCTCTTGAACACAAGACTCTGTAATGTCTCTCTGCTTTTCTTCTGTTTTTTCCAACTCCTGAAATACCTTCATTACCTGCTTAATCTCTATCCCCACCTAATTTCATATGGCAAATTTCTGTGCATCCTCTAATTAGTGCTTTGGCCCTCATTGGGTGGCTCAGTTTGTTGGAGTGTGATACCATTGATGTTACAGGTTCAGTCCCCGATTGAGCTAGTACAAGAGGCAACTGATCTTTCTCACTCTCTATCTCTCAAAATCAATTTTCAAGAAAACAACCATATAATTCTTGCTTTGGAAATCTTTGCTAAAATTATGGATTATCTATGTTCCCTAAGATATATTTATAGTACTTATGAACAATAGTATAAATGCCTTTTATTTTCAATTTTCCTCCCCTGAGTCTTTTGAACATAAGGTAGTGTCCTTTTTATCTTTGTAGTTCTTTTGCCAATAGTTTCATGCATTGTACATATTGAGTGTTTAATAAGTGCATACTGATAAACTAAGTGAATAAATAAATGCAAAATACTTAACTAAATCAAGCATAAAGTTAAGAACAACATTGTGTTTATTAGATTGCAGTATGTTTCTGTACAAGCTAAAATTTACTAAACTAAACAGAAAATTATATAGGGTGTTTCTACTGGTATAGTCTACCAAGTGATTATGAGGGCAAAGATAAATAAGCATTATTTTTGAAGATGTCAACAGGCTTATGTATTGGCTTTCTGAATTCTGAATTTTGCTTCTTAGGTGGCCAAATTTCAATAAGTTTTGGAGCACACCCAAGACAAAAAGATAAATAAATTTACCCATATAATTACCATGGTTTTCCAGTTCTGCAAATGTGCAGCAGTTATCAAAAGTTACAAATATTTTAAACACATTTCTAACCCAACTGTGCCCTTAAATAGATTGTGCAG